CTTTATGGTAAGACATTTACACACGGTATTTATTCATTATCTCAACACATGAACCTATTTATCGAATAAAAAATACGATAAGAAAGCTTTTTTAATGATCATGGACAAGTGACCAGTCAAATTTTCACTTTGGGATATTTTGATCGACCAAATTCTTGAAACCACTACCGCTCTCAAACTTTGCTGCCTAGGCCTATCGAGACTCGAGAAAATCTTTGTCGTGAACATGTCGTGACTCATGCCAGTGCACAGGGCCGTCGAGAGCCTTGTCGGGCCCTGGGGCAGCGATCACCTTCGGCTAATGCAGGCTCAATCTCATAGTTATCTTGTACTGATTTTGACTCACTCAAGATTGCGTCCTATTCATATCGTAAACTTTTCAGACCTTTAATTAGACTATTGATATTTGCCACCTCAACGTCAAGAGTTGCTTCTCGTGCTTGACCGCGCTCTATTTCAGTGATCGATTGCTGTGAGGATTTTGAGCCAAACGAGTGCCATTATCACACATTCAAATGATTCCAAGCACTTAAGAATACCAATCAAACCTGATCGTGTTTCTGGGGTGAGGTTCATTTGAAGAACAGTTTGAACAGCTTTCCTCAGTCCCCTGATGTGAGCCGCAGAAGGCCCGACACTGTCAACACGTGCTGATCTACATGTCTGAAACATACTGTGCAAAGAGCTGGGAATGTTTTGCTTCAAAATTTCCCACCTTTGTGGACTGGAGCTAAAAGTTATACAGCTTCTGTACAACTTTAAAGAAAGTTATGACTGTTGAACAGCTTTCTGCAGAAGAATGCTCGCCACACAAATTCGAACTATGACAGCCACAGGGAGAGCATGTGGCAAGTGATCACTGTCTTAAAATGTGAGCCTGTGCACCATTATACAGACCACACATGTTGCTACCGTTGTCGTAGCCTTGGCCTCGGCAGTCTGTAATTGGAATGTTTGTTTTTTTATTCAGTGTATCAAGGATAATTTTAGTGATGTCTTCTCCTGTTTTCTTGTTACAATCTACACATTTCAGAAATCTCTCTTCTACTTTGTAGACATTTGTATCACTGTCCAAGTGAACATAACTCAAAATAAATATTAAAAACAGTTTGTTCGACGTGTGAAAAGTCTGGTGTTTTGCATCAACGATAGTGGAGTAATATTTCGTTCCGCTTTCATTCTTTTGATGCACAACTTTGGATGAATTCATTTTGACTTTCTAGTGATAGATGGTGAACTTGTAGGCGCCTTTTTTTCTTTCTTTCTTTCTTTTTTTGTTGTTGGATTTTTCAATTTTTGTAAGATGCTCTGCATGGAGAGGATCGTAATGGCCAATCATTTCCAGAAGTCCAAGAAAGCACTACCAAAGTTCTGTGAAGTTGTCAGATATACAGCTCAAGTTGCAGAATCTTTTATTTCAAAGCTTTGTACCGTACTCTCTCTCTCTCTCTCTTTCTCCTCTCTCTTTTCCCCTTGCTTGCGGGCCCCGGGGCATTGGCCCCCCTGACCCCCCCTCTCGACAGGCCTGCCAGTGCATCACGGGAGCTTGGTTTCCGTTTGGAAAATGAAACAAGACTTGAGTTATATATTATATTTTATAAGGATAGTGGCCGCATAGTTTGGCCGGCCGCAAATAGTACCTTTACTCTAGTCATAATTACTCTCTCTCTCTATCCCTCTCGCTGTCTGTCTACTGTCTGTCTCTCTTCCTGTCTTATAAAAGTTATTTATAAGAAAATTTATCTGTACTCTATTCATACTTACACACACACTCTCTCTCCCCCCCCCCCTCTCTGGCCCATTCCATAATAAGCGTTCCACCAAAATGCAAAAAGATTAATTTTTTGAGTGAATATGCTGTATGTTCTTTGAAAGCTCTGTATAATGACAGTTATTTTTTTTGTTTCCGGACCGGTATAGTTAATGGCAAAATCTGTAAGACTTTTGGTTACATGTATTTACTGTCAATGGATTTACCTTTCATGTATTCATTTGAATCGTTTGGTTATAACATTTATTACTGCTCTATTTTTTATCGAAGAAAAAGGCACTTTGCCATGAAAAAATAAAAACTTAGTGGGAAATGCCATCTCAGGAGAGAGAGAGAGAGAGAGAAAGAGAGAGAGAGAGAGAGAGATAGATAGATAGAGAGAGAGAGAGAGAGAGAGAGAGAGAGAATAAAAACTTATCGGAGAAATGTCATAAAAGTCTTTTGGTCACACTCACACATACAGCCAGTTG